GAGCAGAGAACCTCTCACTCCAGTGGTGTGTAACGAATGGAAGACCCAGGGAAGAGCGGAGTGCAGCAGTTCAGTGAGACAATGGAGGCTTTCAGTCTGAAACGTGTTACTGGCTGAGGTTTTTAGACAAATGCGAGAGAACAACTATAATTTTTTCTTCGTTTTTAAAATCTCCACAATATATTTATAGCTATATTATGTTAGAACATTGTTAAGAGATATGAAAAAATGTTTTAAGCTAATATGTTTTCCAACTTTGCTATGGCAGCTTTAAGGTTCTCAGAACAATTACTTGATTTTCTCTTTTTCAATGTGATTTCAATTATAACAAGGCTGTTTAACAAAAGTCTGCATGTCCCACTTCTGACTTGAACCCATAAACCAAACATTATGAAAGGTAATTAAACAAAGTTTGTGCTTTCAATTGTTGAGGATACACATCATGTCTATTATGTCATGTTGTTTAGTTAGCTGTGGCGTCAATCAAGGCTCTGTATTTGGACATGTATTTTTTCCCCCTTATTGGTTCTTTTAACTAATTTGACCTGAAAACACTGAAATACTAATCAGGTGGCGCTCATTTGCAACTCTTTTTCTATCAAGCCAAAACAATTTTTAAAAAGCCAAGTGTATTGCAAATAATGCTAAAATTGGAAATGTAACAATAAAACAATGTGTACAGGCAGAACAGCTCTAACCATATTAGAACAGGTGTGACCCATGTTAGCAGATTGGCACATCAAAGAAGATCATAACTAAAGCAGTTATTAGCTTGAAATAAATGAAAAAGTAAAGCTACGTGGCAGCAGATAGTAGCGCTGCTGCTGCCTTTCTGTGCAGTTAGTGTGTACCCCCCATGCATGCGTGGGTTTTCTCCAGGTATTCTGGTTTCCTCCAGACCACACACATGCATGTCAGGACAAGCAATGAGACAGTTTCGGAAAAAAAAAAAATCTGAAAAAAAAAAACTGAATAAATTGTGAATGCAAAATATTAAAAAGGTTTATTCTATTTTATTTTGCATTCAGACTCTGAACATCTAAGCTCTGTGGTTTTAGCCTCTACTCACATACGTTAGGCAGTCACTGTGAAACTTCTCCCCAAACACAGGTCATTTTAAACCTTCCCTTCTTTCAGTCTTGTTATGAGTAACTGTTGTGTTTTTGGGTTGAAATGCAGAAACCTGCACTGTACACGTGGACTAGTGGAGATTCTTGTTTTGCAAGAGCTACCATGTTTTTTCCCAAAACACGCTGTGAACAAAATAAAAACAAAGGAAGGTTTAAGAAAATTCTCAATTTGTATTTAGTTCATAAAAACAAAACTAGTTTGCAATTATTGACATGAGCCTCCAGGTTTGTGAGAAAAACAAACCAAAGCCATAAAAATGGATTTGTTGATAAATACTTGATTTGAAATTTAAATATTTTTTTTTCATGATTTTATTGCTTCAGGTCTTCAGATGACTAAACATTTGGCTTTTCCCCAAACTGCTAACATTTACTTAAAGATACAAAAAATCTGCAGTTTGCTTTACTTAAAAAACCTTTGTTCTTTAAAATAATGTTGCTTAATTAGTTCCCACCTTTACAATTTCTTTGCTGTCATAAAATTGTCTGCAGACAGTTTGCATTATTAATTGCATTTATTTATAGAATAAGTGATAAAAAATAAAAACATTCATGGTCATAAAACCCACATTTCAACCAAATTTACATGTGACTGTTCAAAAATGGCCTCTAATGACTGATCACTTGTTTTTAGATTATCAGGTTAAACCAGGTCTTCCATTTCCTATAATTACTGACAACAATCACGTTGACAGAGTTATTTTTTAATTGTTTTCCAATTTTTTTTTAGATATACAGACACTGTGAGAATCATGAGACGCTGAAATATTCCCTGAAGATGCAGAGTCAAGACTCAACTCCACATCCTCTTAAAATGTGTGCACACTTTAAAAAACTCACCCAAAAAACAAACAAACAAAAAAAAAACAGAAGTTTCAGAATTTTGTAGTTTCAGCAAATTTTCACTTTTGCTATCAAAGCCAACAATCCGAACTGGAGAAAATTTTGCCAACATTTTTTTGCCATGTAAAATAACTGACAGACTTCATTATAAAACTGAGTTTAAAGTTTTTCTATTAAATTCAGATAATTCAGCTTCTCTTTAATGATGACACACTTCCTTATTGGCCACTGTAACTCATGAGTCATAGAGAAAACGAAAATCAAATTATGACTTCAAGACGCTGAAACATTTGTGGCAAGCGAGAAAGAGGGTGAGAAAAGGAGGGAGGAGGGGGGAGAGAAACTAGGAGGAAACTGAAAGTAAGAACATATATAAATAGTGGCTACTGTACAGGAGCTTCATCAAAGCACAAGAGTGGAGCACACTACTCCTCAAGGTAAGCCCAACACACACAAACACACACACACACACACACACACACACACACACACACACACACACACACACACACACACACACACACACACACATTTGTATGTTACATGCTTGATGTATGAGAATAAAGCACAAGAATAATGAAATTTTACACGTTCGTTTAAGCGTTTCCATTTAATTTTGAGTAAATGGGAAAAACGAATGATCAATGGCCTGTATCTGTTATAGCACCTTCTAGGGTTCTACAGTCCCCCAAGGCACATTTCAACATAACCTGTAATTTATCCATGCACACACACATCCATATGCTGGTGGTGATGAGCTACATTATAGCCACAGCTGCACTGGGGTGCACTGACAGAAACGAGGCTGCCAAACACTGGCACCATGGGTTAAGGCGGGTTAAGTGTCAGAAAGATGGATGGGATTCAAACCTGCAACCCTCAGGTTACAGGGCGGGCACTTAACTCCTCTGCCACCATCAGACAGTAATGTTGGATTTGAGAAGTGGTGTCCAACCCTGATCATCAGGGGCCATCATCCTGCTTTTACACACCTGATCCGACCCTAAAGGGGATCGAGGTAGGAAGAAAACTAAAGCATGCACGCTGATAGAACTGATGACCAGGACTGAACGTCAGCACTTTAGTTTGTCTTCTACTTCTATATGGAAAAAAAAAAACACTTTTTTTAGTGATATTTACAAGGAATGAGAAAATGTGGCGATGTCCTGAGTCACAAAATTGAGCAGAAAGCTCCAGAAAGTTGTGATACAACATGCAATTCAATAAAATCCCCGGAACAGGGACTTTTTATTTAACAAGCTGGTTCTTGCGACCCAGCTGGGATGATGGTCTGCTGGCTGTGGACCAGCATCTGGTGTAGAGACATTTTCAGGTGCTAGGCCACATGTACCCAACACTTCCTTTCAGAGTGAAACAACTTAAGAGGAATTAAGGTAGTTCTGCATGCTTGTGCAACTGCAGCAGCTACAGTGGAAACGAGTTGCACAAGAAATGAAGCATGTTAACCAGATGGTGGGGAAAGATTGAACATGTGATGCGGAATTTCTTCTTAAAAATATATATAAAAACTCCAGATTCCAAATATGCAACCCCCCCCCCCCGAACTCAGCACTGTATTCTGCTCTTTCTTGCCCCAAAGACTGTTAGACATCTGTAAACAACAGGTTTATGACGCTAAAGGTCCCATGTCTGTTTCAGATGACTGTTTGGTGGATTGTCTCCATCCTTTGTTGTGTTGTGCTCCATGTGGAGTCAGCGCCAACCCCCTTCAATCAGAGGCAAATGTACAAAAACTCATTTCACCTCACAAGATCCACTCGGGCCAGCGTGCAGCATCTACTGAGAAACTATGTGAGTACTGAAAATAACCCTTATTTCTGTGCAAATGCATCTTTCTTGTTGTCGATAACATTTTTTTCTTCATTTAAAAGAAGGAGGAGCAGATGGGAAATGTACATTTTGAGGACAGAAGCAGACACCTGAGGGAACTGCCTTCACTTTCCACTGACTTCTACAGTTGGCTCAGTTTATCGGTTAGTATCGGTTTCATACTTATTTAATTGAAAAAAAGCCCTCACTCACTTGCTAGCTGCTGTCCTTAAAATATGCAAAGTTTTTAGTAAATTTTTTAAGGATTTTTGAGTTTTTGTGTCTAATAAGGACAGAAAATGTTAAAAAAGGCCTAATTTGGATGTCTGCTCCTGCAGAGTATAAACTTCAATGAAAATTTGAGTGGAATTCCCCTTTTAAGAGCATCAAACACAGATAGCAGAGTTGTGCAAGGTTTTCCATGATGTAATTTTTGGGCTGTCTCCTGTCGTGCTTTTAGGACCGGGATCGGCTGCATGGTGCGTTCAGGGACATGCAGGTCTACTGGAACATGCTGGAAAAGAAGAGAAAACAGTTGGAGAGGGAGCAGATGGAGCTGAACACTGTGCACGCCACCCAGCGCAGTTTAATCCAGCACTTCAGGCACATTCAGCTGGATCTACGGGACCTGATGAGCCAAGTCAGCAGTCAGGTATCCGCAGTCTTACTGTCACCCGACAACATTAGAGCATGTCCCCACAAAGGAAGTGACACTAAATCTGTTCTCATGATCTTTGTTTTGCTTTCTTCATCCAGATGAAATTAATGAGGAACTCCTGGATTAGGCCGGCACTTAGTATTGTACACATGCACCCAGAGGGAAGCGTGAAAACGTTGTGGGACAGCCGAGTGGAGGGCTACATCGTCCTGAGGGACCTGGATCTTTACCTCACAAAGCTGGCAAGAGACTTTCTTCTGTTGGCTTCAAAACCGCTCTGATGAGAGGAAAACAGCCAGAAAAAACGGGAAAAAGCTGGAATGTCATAAAACAAGAATGGGAAACACAGTTGGACTAACACAGTTTGGTACTCGGGACTCTGGTATTCTTTTCAGCGGTGATATCAAAACATTTTTTGGGGTATTTTCCAGTTTCTGTCTCACCTCTAACTGGAAGTCAGAGACAACTCTCAGAGGACATCCCAACATCCTGTTTCCTTTTTTTTTTTACCACAACTCTAAACTTTGGACTTTCCGACGAAATATTTACTATTTATTGACTTATTTATTGACATGTTATTTATTTAAAAGTTGTTTGCTTAAGTTATCCAGGAGTAAGGAGATACAGTGTTAGAGAGATTTTTACATTTGTGTGCGTGTCCAACAATAAAGCGATTTCAAAACAAAAGTTTGTTTCACCAGCTTGTAATGTTTAAATAGTTACTGGTAGTTAATAGTTCTTCTTGTGGAGTATATTTTTGCATTCTTTGGTCTGCTTCTGTCTTCTGTACACTGACAAAAACAGTGTGCCTCGGGTGGGAGGATCGATCTGGTTCTCTTCAGGTGGCGGCGATCCGAGGAGCAATCTGAGGAGTCCAGTCAGATTTAAGATAGTCAGCTGGATGAAATGTTTCTCTTTAAAAACAAACAAAACAAAAGCAGCCATGCCTCCTCCCTGCAGACTCCTCACATGACACGAGAACAGTTGCTGACTCACCACGACCAGATGTCCTCGTTTGCCTTTGGCCACCTTCAGCTCCGAACCCCTGATGAAATCAATTATTCCTTCTTTGTTCCGGGCCACAGCGACGCGAATGCTGCGTTCCACAACGGAGGAAACACATCAGGAGATCATGTTGGAAAACTTCACACCCACAAGATGAACCAGGCAGCCCTAGTCTCACCTGCCAGGACTGACGTTCACGTAGCTGGTCTTGCCGGCCAGCATGGATAGTTTAGTCACCAGCTCGATCACGTGGCTGCAGTGTATGACAGCGTCGCCCTGAGGAACACCAGCAGGATTTAAAGTAGCTGTCTGTAGAAAACAGACACGAGTGCCTTGTTCTGCTGTACCTTCTGTTTGTTATCCTCACACGGCACATGCAGAACAACCATCCCATCCATTAGGGAGCTCACTGAGATGCCTGGTTCAAAAGAACAATCTGGCTTGAACTCATTTATCTACACAACACGATCACAACGAAAATAACTTTTCAGCAAGAAAACTGAATCGACTACAGGTTCAAAACCTTCACAAACCGCTCAAAATTTTTCCTGAAGATAACCCGAGGCATAATCAGTTTGGTTGCCATGGATATTTCTGCTGAAAGTAAATTCAAGTACTTTGACTGCTGAAGGTCAAATAATATTAACCCTTTGATGCATAATGGTCACTACAGTGGACAGGTACTCAAAATTGTTATTTATTTATTTTTGCTACTAAGCACAGCTGTTGAAGACTTTATTGCATGTGAGCCCCTCCATTTGGACTTCAGTAAGGCAAGCCAACATATTTCATGTTCAGAATGCACGCTGTCCACTGAGATGGACATGTAATAAAGTATTTGTAAATTAACAAAATGTTACAAAAAATATTTGTTGAAATTTGTTTCATTCACACCTAAAGATGAATGAAAAAAATTGTTTAAAAAATCATGGTTGAAGATTTCCTAATTCATGCATCAGAGGGTTAAGTTTGATCACTTGAACGTGACGGGGATGATAATCTGTGCTTGATAAAGCTGTAGCAGCCATCTTGGATTAGAAGAAGTGGAAAATCTGATGATTTCTCCGAGTTTTGTTCAAATTTTCCCAGATTCACAAGATATTCTAGTAAAATTCAGACAAATCATCACATTCAATTCAATTCAATTCAATTTAATTTATATAGCACCAAATCACGACAAGAGTCGTCTCAAGGCACTTCACATAATAAACATTCCAATTCAGGTCAGTTCATTAAGCCAGTGAGAAATAATGTTTCCTAAATAAAGAACCCAGCAAATTGCATCAAGTCACTGACTAGTGCCAGTGACTTTACAGCAATCCTCATACTAAGCAAGCATAAAGCGAGAGTGGAGAGGAAAACTCCCTTTTAACAGGAAGAAACCTCCAGAGAATCCTGGCTCAGTATAAGCAGCCATCCTCCACGACTCACTGGGGATCGAGAAGACAGAGCAGGCAAACACACACACACACACACACACACACACACACACACACACACACACACACACACACACACACACACACACACACACACACACACACAAGACAAAGTAATGTGTCTATAGTTATATCGTGATTTCTTAGTAAATATTCTATTTGGTGAGAGATAAACTTTATTGTATTTATCCTAGTGGATATATAATTAAATGGATAAACTACCAGTAGCACATCCAACGTCAAGGAAAGCAAAAAGTTTAAGTGGTTAGTAGCAGTGTGCCAGACGATGGCCCCCTCCATGAGGCCACCACAGCTCAGCAGAACATCATTGTAGCTTCTTCTGGGGAGAAAAACACTTAGAGAGAAAATAAAGTTAACAGCTGAAATTGCAGAAAATAATACAGTTAAAGAACAGATTGTAGAAGAAAGTAGTAGAGTGTGAAAAGTGGTCAGTGTATCCTCCAGCAGTCTAAGCCTATAGCAGCATAACTACAGAGATAACTCTGGATAATCTAGCCTTTTAGATGTAGGCATGTTGGAGGCAGGGCAAGGGAGAGCCGTCTTTACCGACTGTACACTCCACCTCCCTCTACTCCCCCACTTGTCCAGATTTAGGCTAACATCAGATTTTAACCATAGGCCCTATCAAATAAAAATGTTTTAAGCCTAGTCTTAAAAGTAGACAAGATGTCTGCATCACGGACAAGCTGGGAGCTGGTTCCACAGGAGAGGAGCCTGATAACTAAAAGATCTGCCTCCCATCCTAATTTTACATATTCTGGGAACCACCAGTAAACCTGCAGTCTGAGAGCGAAGTGCTCGGTTAGGAACGTATGGAACAATCAGATCACTGATGTATGATGGAGCTTGATTATTAAGAGCTTTATATGTGAGAAGAAGGATCTTAAAATCTATTCTGAATTTAACAGGTAGCCAATGAATGGAAGCTAAGACAGGAGATATATGATCTCTCTTTTTAATTCTCATCAGAACTCTAGCTGCAGCCTTTTAGACAAGCTAAAGACTTTTAACTACATTCTGAGGACTTCCTGAGAGTAATGAATTACAGTAATCCAGTCTTGATGTAATAAATGCATGAACTAGTTTTTCAGCATCACTCCTGGAAAGGATGCTTCTAATCTTAGCAATATTCTGAAGGTGGAAAAAGGAAATCTTGCAAACCTGTTTAACCTGGGATTTGAATGACATGTCCTGGTCAAAGAAAACACCAAGGTTCATTACTTTGTTCTCGGAGATTAATGTAATGCCATTCAGGTCAGGTGATTGACTAAGCAATTTCCTTTTCTGGATTTCTGGTCCAAAGATGAGAACTTCAGTCTTTTCTTGATTTAAAAGCAAAAAGTTTAGAGTCATCCAATTTTTTATGTCCTCAAGACAAGCCTGTAATCTACCCAACTGATTAGGTTCATCTGGGTTAATGGATAAATATAACTGAGTATCGTCAGCATAACAGTGGAAGTTTATCCCATGCTTTCTAGTGATTTTACCAATTGGGAGCATATACATAGTAAAAAGAATTGGTCCAAGCACTGAACCCTGTGGTACTCCACAAGTAACCCTGGAGTATGAAGAAGATTTGTCATGTACATTTACAAAATGAAATCTGTCAGACAGGTAGGATTTAAACCAGCCTAGCGCTGTTCCTTTGATCCCTACAACATGTTCAAGTCTTTCTAAAAGAACATTGTGATCAACTGTGTCAAAGGCAGCACTGAGATCTAACAAGACTAGAACAGACACAAGATTCTTGTCTGAGGCCATGAGAATATCATTTGTAACTCTCACTAATGCAGTTTCAGTGCTGTGATCCTCTCTAAAACCAGACTGAAATTCCTCAAACAGAGCATTAGTGTTTAAATGCTCACATACTTGGATGGCCACTATTTTCTCCAGGACTTTGGATAAAAATGGAAGGTTAGATATTGGTCTATAATTCATTGGGTCATCTGGATCCAGAGAAGGCTTCTTAAGTGAAGGTTTGATTACAGCAACCTTAAAATCCTGTGGTACATATCCATTTACTAAGGATAGATTGATTATATCAAGAATGGGGGCAGTAACCAAAGGAAATGCTTCTTTAAATAATTTGGTTGGGATTGGATCCAAAATGCAAGTTGAAGGTTTAGATGAAGCTAATATTTTTGATAACTCTGAAAGCTCAACTGGATCAAAACGGTTCAAGCACAGATGAGGTTCTACAGTCACCTCTGATGCTGCCTCACTTACTGAGGAAGAAGAAATCGCATTAGGGAAGATGCTAAAGATTTTGTTTCTAATAGAATTAATTTTACTTGTAAAAAATCCCATGAAGTCATTGCTGCTGAGGGCTAAGGGAATAAATGGCTCAGAGCTATGATTCTGTGTAAGTTTAGCAACTGTACTGAAAAGAAATTTAGGATTATGCTTATTCTCCTCAATTAATGCTGAGAAATAAGCAGTTCTAGTTTGTCTAAGCTTATTTTTATAAAGCACAAGACTATTTTTCCAGGATAGGTAGGCCTCCTCATGGTGTGTAGAGCGCCATGTTCTCTCCAATTTCCTAGAGTTTTGTTTTAAGGCTCGTAAATGAGAGTTAAACCAGGGAGCCAACTTCCTGTCCCTAATTACCTTCTTTTTTAAAGGGGCAACATCATCTAATGCCACACGTAAAGAGGAATTAACATGATTAACTAAGACATCAATTTGTGAGGGGCTAGAACTGAAAATATTGCCCACTGCTACATGCCTCTGAGATGCTGAGGACAGTAAAGATGGAACAGTTGATTCAAAAGATGCAACTGCGTTGTCAGATAGAGACCGACTATAGTGAAATTTACTTTCATGTCTCGAGAACTCAGTTATAAAAAACTCAAAGGTTATCAGAAAGTGGTCCGAGAGGACTTGATTATGTTGAAAGATCGTTATTTCCTCACACTCTATGCCATAAGTCAGCACAAGTTCTAATGTATGATGGCAGGAGTGGGTGGAGCTATGTATTCTTTGAGTAAAACCAATTGAGTCTAGGGTATTACTAAAGGCTACATTGAGGCTATCATTTTCAATGTCCACATGAATATTAAAATCCCCCACTACCATGACCTTATCAGTATTTAGCACCAAATCAGATAAAAAATCAGAGATCTGATCCAAAACTCAGAGTAAGGGCCTGGTGGACGATATAAAACTACAAACAAGAGTGGTTTTACAATTTTGCAATCTGGATTAGGAAAACTAAGAATAAGATGTTCGAATGAACTGTAACTAATAATCTGTAAGGGACTGATTAATAAATCCGAATGAAAAATGGTTGCTACTCCTCCTCCTCGCCCTGGACTTTGAGCAATATGATGATTTAAATAATTTGAAGGAGTCGACTCGTTTAAGCTAACATAGTCCTCTTGCTGCAGCCAGGATTCTGTGAGAGAGAGCAAAGAGATCTGATTATCACAAATCAAGTCATTAACTAACAAAGTCTTAGAAAAAATGGATCTAATGTTCAACAACCACATTTAATTTTTCTAGTTTTCTGCTCAGTTGAATTTGTTCTAATATTTATGAGATTTCCATGATTTGCTTTATTAAGCCTGATATTTAATCTGTGTGGTTTTGGCCATGGGCAGGACACTGTCTCTATGGGGTAGTGGGTGGGTAACAGTACAGAAGCTGCAGAGGGGTGTGTTAAACTACGACTCTGCTTCCTGGTCTGGACCCTGGGTTGCCATGGAGGACTAATAAAACTGGCCATGTTCCTAGAAAGAAGAGCTGCTCCATCCAAAGAGGGATGGATGCCGTCTCTCTGCATCAGACCAGGTTTTCCCCAAAAAGTTTTCCTATTATCAATGTAGCCCACGTTGTTTTCAGGACACCACCTAGACAGCCAGCGGTTGAAGGACAGCATGCGGCTAAACATGTCATCACTGGTCCGATCAGGCAGGGGGCCAGAGAAAATTACGGAGTCTGACATTGTTTTGGCAAACTTGCACACCGAAGCAACATTAATTTTAGTGAATTCCGATCGGCGGTGTCATTACCGCCAGCGTGAATAACAATCTTACTGTATTTACGCTTATCCTTAGCCAGCAGTTTCAGATGAGATTTAATGTCGCCTGCTCTGGCCCCAGGTAAACATTTAAGTATGGTTGCTGGAGCCTCTAATGCCACGTTTCTGACTATAGAGCTGCCAATGATTGTCAGCGGGTGCGTCACTGAGCGGGGAAAATCTATTAGAAACGTGGACGGGTTGGTGGTGGCCCACAGGCTGGGTTCTATGCTTCCTGCGTACCGTCACCCACCCGGCTGCTTGGATTCTGCTGGAGGATCGCTACGGGGTGGTTTTGAGCTAGTTAGCCCCACGCTAGCTAAGTAGCTACGGCTGTTTACGGGTTTTTCAACAGCGCGGAGCCGGGCCTCCAATTCCGACACCCTCGCCTCCAAAGCTACAAAAATGCTACATTTATTACACGTACCATTATCGCTAAAGGAGGCCGAGGAGTAACTAAACATCTGACACAGAGAGCAAGAGATAGGAGGCGGAGAAGCAGAGACAGAAGTAGCCATAGCCGTGCTGAGGCTAAGCTAACTGGACGAGCAAACTGTTCAACACCAAATAAACTGCGTGCGAACTCAAATGGTTCCCTAAAAGCTAGATGGAACAACAGAAAATGTGTGTTTTAGCGTGCTTATGTGCTACAATAACTCAGAGATATCCTAGTACAGAGAAATTAAATCAGTTTTCGCGAGTCCCAAACACCAAACAGCTAAACGTAGTGCAACACTGAAAAGAGGAAACGCCTTACCGCCAGGTGCAGCCCTCACATTAGAGACAGACACCACAGGACAAACATTCTAACAAAATGTGATTAATAAAAGCCAGTGTGGGTGGACTTCACCTCTCAGAATAGCATAATCAATCCTCTGCTTGATCTTGGTCCGGTCCACCAGCACAGCAAAGGAGTTCATGAGGAGCAGCTGACGGGCTCGAGGCTTGAAGCCCCTTCTGTCATACTTGATCACAGAGATGCCATACTGAGAAGAGCAAGGAGACACATCACCGCCGAGCAGCATTTATATTCATCCTCATCGCGTAATCCCAGCATGATCACCTGCACTTTTTCACTGCCGAGAGTCTGGAGGACTTTGAGACTGATCTGCTCCCGTTCTGCATGGACCAATGGAAAAAGTTGGTAAATGTTACACAAAAAAAGCGTTTAGCAGTGTTTGTGTGAACGTGTACCGAGTCTGGAGTCCAAAAACAGCCTCCCAACACTCAGAGGATAGTTGTCCTTCTGGTCCTTGAAGATCTCACTCGCTACAACCTTCTGCATCATCTGGATGAAGGACAAACACAAGAGTAAAGACTTTCAGACTGATTTAGATATGAGGGGCAATAATAATAATGTTATCCATAGTCAGAGTACCTGCTTCTTCCATTCAGGCTGGACTCTCCTGCAGTACTTGATGACCATGTTTCGCATGTGCAGCGTCTGCAGATGTTCAGAGGCCTGTGGAGGATGCAAAACGCTCATCAGTAAGCCTTGCTCACATTTTGTTCCTTCTCAATGACCTCTAAAAAGGATGAATCATCTGGGTTTATTGAGTCTTTGTGCGTACTTCAACAAGAGAGGGAGGAGGTGTCAGCCAGCTTTTGTCCAGAACACTTGTAGGCAGGTTTTTACTCAGCTTTTTGAGGAAGGAGTAGCGCACATGGTCCAGGAAGTACTGGTTTTCCGGGCAGTAATCCTCATGACGGTAGATGAAGCCTTTTATGAGTCTAAAGAATGAACAGAAACAATATGTGGGAATAAATATGGACCCAAGGCAAAGTTAGGACCAAAATCACACAATAGGCATGCACCTGCGTATCAACTCTGCAGCCTGACGACGCCGTTTCGCCCTCCTGCGTGCTTTCATTCCTCGCCACGCCGACTGGATCACGATCACTACACACATTCATGCATGCATAACTACCAAAAAAGCTACACCAAAAGCACCAAGTCAGAAATGGGGTAGATGGGAGGAAACCTGCATGTCTGATGCGCTGATAGTTGGCCCACTCTCTGTAGCCTCGCCAGGACTTCTGCAGGACCACCGCTGCAGCAGAACAAAGAAGAAGTTATTTTAGCTTCATTTAACGAGGTCCAAACATCCTCTTGTGAAGGTTTCCACTGAAATTGTGATTGTTCAGCCTTTGTTCATTACTGTATGTCCAATAATTACTTCAATAATGTGTGAAAATGTGTTCATGCAGAAAATGGGCCTCTATGGGAATCATTACCTTTCCTGACAACCTGAAATAAGAGTCTCTCTCACAGGTAACATTCACCTGAGGCCATCATACCTCACGTGTTATAAGGCTGTCATGAATCAGTGCTGCATACCGATCTCTGGCTTCTTAGCCTCCAGGGCGTCCTCCGTAGTGAAGAGAGTTTTAGGGAAACGGATGAAGATTTTGGATCTACACACACACACGCATGCACACACACACACACACACACACAAACACACACACACACACACACATGCATGCACGCACAGAGAGTGAGGAACAAACATTTATGTCACATTTTATTCATGTAAAGCTGAAATTTTACAACAAATGAAGACAAAACTTTCCCGACAGAATCCTAGTAACAAGCTTTTTTTCCTCTGACTAATTTTTTACTCCTTAATGCATCAAATATCTTTAGCAGGAGACATTTCAGGCCTGCAGGCTGGTGAAACACCTGGACTCTTCATGCCATGATGCTGAAGTTTGGTATTTTCTCAATGAGCTGTTCTTCTCTTTAGTTTTTTGTTTCGGTCTATTGTATCAAGCTCAGGCGTGGGAAAGGGGGCTTTTCCTGATGCTGTTTAAAAGGAGTTTTAATCCAGGATTAAATCTGTGATTGAACAGCATCACAGCATAAATCCAGGATTATTGCATTCAATTTCACTTTTGCTTACATGACAAGTTTTCAGCTAAATAAAAACTTTCCATAATTTTCTTTTTATCTCTGATTACCTGCCCAGTTTGAACTCCTCTGCTTTGTAGCCAAGATGGCTGACCAGTGCAGACACCCCATCCACCAGCTTCCCGTGCCAGTTGGGCCACGTTTCGGGACACAGGGGCTTGTACCTAAAGAAGTTTACACACCATAATGAAGAAAATGTTCAACAGAACAAACAGCAGTTGCGAGTCATCTGAAGAAAAGGTGAGTCACCTCTGCAAGAACGCTTCAAAGCGACGGCGGTAGGCGAACCCAGCTCTCCTGACCCTCAGGTTCTCCATAAGACCCAAATACTTCACCTGGTGTCGAACCAGAACTTCATCAAACCGTCCTGCAGACAGATTATTTATCACACAGTTATATAAGCAACAATTTACAGTTATAATCAAGTAAGGCTGAATTGGATAAAATAAAATAAATCTGCAATCTGACTTCAATTTTTAAGGCTAAACTTCTCTCTTGTACCTGGCTGCTTAGCATCATTCGGTTTGATGCAACGCACGTAGGACGGCTCTTTAGACATCAGGATCTCCATCAGTTTCATCAAACTGTTTTTGAACTGATAAGCAGCCTGAAGAGAAAACAACATGAATTTGTGGAGTGGTTTATGTTTGTTTTGTGCTTCTGTGTCTCATTTGTGTCTTTGTGCAAGAAACAGAGAGGCTGATTCACACCATCCCTGGACGTTTCTGGTCGATGGCTTCCTCTCTGCGGAAGCAGTAACTTAGGATCTGGTTGTCTGACTGACACACGACCTGAGCACAAACCAAACCACAAAACCACATGAGAACAAAGCAACACAACACACCCTCTCCCATTCGCATCTTCGCTCAACTGATGCCATGTGTTTGTTTTCATTATCTTCACCTCTTTCAGGTTCCTGCTCAGTAAATCGTTGTTCTTGTCCAGGAAACCTGAACAAGTGGGAGCAATGGTTGACATTAAAATAACAGCAGGTTGCTGCTTTGTAGTAAATGTTGCCGTTTTAAAAAGGAAATGTGTGCAGAAATGCTCAAAAATGAATTACGACTCACCGTTGACGTTATAGTTGACCTCCCCAGCGTAATGCAGCAGCCGGAACTCCTCCCGACTCATTACTCTGCGTGCTTTTCCATTTGCCAGCTTGTGCCTGAAACACCCACAAATAGATGCTCTTCACAACATGAACTAAAAAAAGAATTTCAAATGAATGATGATTTAGTAACACGTTTCACACATAATGCTGTCAAATATGTTTCTGAATCACAAATGCAAGGAAGAGCACATAAAAATTAAATATTACTGGATCGGAAATTGAGCCCTGTGGTACCCCGCACAGAAGTATAGCATAGCATAGCAAAGTTTATTTATATAGCACATTTAAAATGCAGCATGGGAGCTGCCCAAAGTGCTGCACAGGCTAAAACAAAACACACCATTACAAGGAGCTAAAACAAAGGATAAAAATCTCAATTAAAAGCAGAAAAACATGATGAATACTAAGAGCACATTAAAACAATGACACAATAAAACACTAAAACGAGTCACTGTCTAAAAGCCAAAGTGTAAAAGTGGGTCTTTAAACGAGATTTAAAAACGGCCAGAGATGTAGCCTGCCGAACTCCAATGGGCAATGAGTTCCATAGCTTTGGGGCAGCATGGACAAATGCTCGATCCCCCCGCAATTTGAGTCTCATCCGCGGCGTATACAGCAGCAAAAGGTCAGCCGACCTCAACGAGCGGGTAGGCACATATGGAGTGAGAAGGGCAGAGAGGTAGGAAGGTGCCAGGTCATTGAGTGCTTTAAAAACAAAAGTCAGTAACTTAAACTGCACTCTGAAAATGACAGGGAGCCAGTGAAGATGTGCCAGGACAGGGGTAATGTGGCTACGTCAGTGTGTACCCGTCAAGAACCTGGCAGCAGCGTTCTGAACAACCTGCAGCCGATTCAGGGCAGAGTCCGGAACACCAATGAGTAGGGCATTTGCATAGTCCAGGCGAGAGGTAATGAATGCATGAATGACTGACTCCAAATGCCTCAGTTTCAGGATTCGTCTGAGGTGAGTAAGGCGGCGAAGCTGATAAAAACAAGACCTCACTACAGAGTTTATCTGTGGGGCCATTGTGAGTCCAGCATCCAGCTTGACCCCGAGACTCGTCACACACTGTTTGGGGTTAAGGGTTAAAAGGTCACAAACAGGGTGAGAGCCATGGTGGTTGCAGGGGTCAAAAACAATAAACTCAGACTTCTTTTCATTCAGTTTTAAGAAGTTGGATGCCAGCCAGCCCTTCACGTCATCCATACATGCAGCCAATTTCGAGCCTGCATTTTTCTCGTCCATTTCCACGTATAGCTGACAGTCATCTGCGTAGATGTGGTAGCTCAGGCCATGCTGATTCAGGATATTGCCCAGAGGCAGAAGGTAGATTGAAAACAGCAATGGCCCAAGAACGGAACCTTGCGGCACCCCCCAAGGCAGTGGAAGACTGGAGGATGCACAGTCACCAATCTGTACAGAGATGGTACGGTTTGATAGGTAGGAGCGGAACCATTTAAGCGCCACCCCCGTCACCCCAACCCAAGCCGATCCAATAAAATATGGTGATCGACCGTATCAAAAGCCGCTGAAAGGTCCAGCTGGAGCAGCAGTACCGTAGACCCAGAGTCAGATGCCACCAGAATGTCATTTAGCACCCTAATCAAAGCAGACTCAGTGCTATGGTTTGGTCTAAAGGCTGACTGAAATACATCCAACAACGAGTTGCTATTCATATGGGCAGAGATCTGGCCATGCACAATTTTCTCAAGGACCTTCGAGAGAAACGGGACTTTCGATATAGGGCGGAAGTTGTCATAAGTGGAGGGATCCAACCCAGGTTTTTTCAATATCGGCTGAACAACCGCATCTTTAAAAACCTTAGGGAACACTCCAGTGCTGAGGCTAATGTTAAAAATGTTCATGAGTGCCGGGCTCAGCGCAGACACCGCGTCACGCACCAATTTAGCCGGGAGGCAGTCCACCGAAGAGCCAGCTGGCTTCATGGAGCTAATCAGTTTCATCAAGTCAGCAAGCTGAACAGGAGCAAAGTCTGAGAAGGCAGGTGGATCCGGCGGTTCTACATGGATAGTGTGTATTTGAGGCTGGAGGCTAAGCCTAATACCAAGGATCTTGTTGAGGAAAAAGCTCTGTAGCTCTGTGCATAAAGCAACAGTAGGATTTAGACCATCAGACTCATTTAACAGTAGCAGGGAGTTAACTGTGCTGTACAGCCTGGACTGGTCTCCATGATGCTGTGAAATGATAGCAGAAAAATAGTTATTACGAGCAGATCTAACTGCTCTCTGGTAGCGTGAAAGTATGGATGATTCTTACGTGACAAAATGGGGATGACCACCAACTGTGTCCTCCAACTTCTCCAAAAAGGAGATATCACATGTCTCTCCTGGTCTCAGACACTCCTCGTCCTAAAAGACAGTCACAGTATTTACATTAGCAAACAGCAACATGTGGACGGACAGCTGATCCCGTCCTCACCAGAATGGAGATGATGCCTTTGTGCTTCTCCTCTATCAGGTCACAAATGATCTTGTTGTCGAAGTATTGCACTGGCTCCCACTGCATTTTAAGCACCACAATGTTGTGTTATGTCATTAAGGAGATGTAAATATTACCCAGTATGTCAGAAGAATTTGCTGTTGAACTCACTGCAAGCCCTTCTGTCTCGTACTCCTCCTGCTCAGATCTGAGTGTCAGCTCGATGAACAGCTGCTGGAGCTTCTCGTTGCAGTAGTTGATGCAGAACTGCTCAAAACTGCAGGGAAATAATTCAAACAGAGACCATGTTTATGCAGACTGAGATGCAAAATAAAGCAGAGAATGAATATTAGCTTTACCTGTTGCACTGCAGAACCTCAAAGCCATAAATATCTAGAAGCCCAATGACAGAAGAGCCTTTGCTGCTGTGATAGAGTTCTTCCTGCATTAACAAAGTCCACAATCATGGTAAAACACAGCAGGTGCCTCAAATATATTTATTTTAGAACTAATCTGACAGCTGGTACACCCAGCACCTTGACAGCCAGGGACTGGTTGATCTTCTCCACCAGCCAGCTGAAGGTCCGACCATACACAGCCTTGGCTAAAGCATCACGGGCCGAGACAGCCTGCTCAAAACTCAGTGGACTGATCATCTGCAATACACAAAGCAAATAAAAACTGTTGCATAAAATCTTCTAAAAGAAAAACCTTTGTAAAATGGTGGAGAGGACAGTCACCTCCTCTCCTTTGGCTGTCAGTTTCTTGTGAGTAAGTGCCTCCTTCAGGGCCAAGCCATCAACACCCAGCAGCTGCAGCACGACAACAACACATCTGTTGCTTTTCTGCATATTTGAGCATCCAGTAAAACTTGAGGGCCTGCTCTGACCTTTGCAATATTTGATAGCTGTGTCTCAGTGGTGATATAAGTTTCTCCTTCCTCTCCTTCCCCAAAGAGAGTGTTACCCAGATGGAGAACACTGGCGATGATGTTGAGCAACTTCTGAGGTCAGACATGAGAAAAACAGCTGAAAACTGCCTTGTAGAGGATCCAGCTATTCTAAATGTTTGTGTAATGTTAGAAGTTTGAAGGTAAACAGCAGATATATGATATTAAGTGTTGTCTTCAGCAGCTGTCTGCGTTACCTGCACTTCTTCTGGGGTGAAGCCAATCACATCAAGAGCCTTCATCACAACTTTCCAACTATTCTTGTCATTTATGGAGCTGACTCTGGGACAGTTACCCTGTTCAAATGTAAAAAAGTTAGGCTGCAGCTTCAGGAACTTCTACCAGCTAACATCCCATCAGTCAGCACCTTGACCAGATAGCTGTAGCTCTGAGGGTTTCTCTCCAGGTTCAGTGAGTTCAGCAGGTCGTCTTCGCCTCCATCGAGGAGCTGATAGAAGATGTGAAAGTTTCTTTCTCCGTGGTTCTGGTGCACGACCCGAGACTTTTCCAGCAGGTAGTTCAGGATGTGGCCACCAATCGGTGCTCCCTTACAAACGGAACAATGGGAGAAGGACATCTCTGTTAGATTCAGTTTATTTGTTCTCAGAATCGCAGGTTTTAAGTCTCTCGTGACCGAACACCGTTATAACTTCCGGGAAAGCGTTTAGGAATTCTAAATCAAACATTCACCTTAAAGTCAAACTGGATATCCATGTATTTCCCAAAGCGGCTGGAGTTGTCGTTCCTCAGTGTTTTGGCATTGCCAAACGCCTTTACAAAAAAATACAACAAAAAAGGATTTCATCTACGGTGGAAAATTAGAGGAAATTATGCTTTAATAAAGTCAAACAAAGCAGAAAAAATCTGTGTAAGTAAATAAACGGATCAGATTATCTTTTGAACACACCTCCAGGACAGGGTTAGACTGCAGGAGGCGGTCGCCAAGGGTAACCAGGTGATGGTTAGTGGGGCAGGTGACAGCGTAGTACAGGAGGATCTTCTTAGAGGCTTCAGTTTTACCTGCACCACTCTCACCTGAGATAAGAATACACTGGTCCTTCCTCTCGGTCCTCATGGCTCGGTAAGTGTTGTCTGATACGGCATAGCTGGTGAAAAACACAAGAAGGATCCACAGATGAGCTACAGATGTACCACAAAAGCCAGCGTTCTTCTTAGTAATTTATTCTTTATGTTATGAAAGTTCAGGAATGGTGAAGAGGCAAATAAAAGTAAAAAGGCAACAGTTTGGAAATCAAAACAAGCTACTTTTTAAATTTAAAGTAATGAAAAGATTTCTAAAATAATTCACTTATTATAAATAAAATAATAAAGAAACTATAACGAAAACTGAAGAAATAACAGAAAGCGCAGTAATATGGTCAGAGAAATAAATAATAAAGCATTCCAGAACGATGAAATAAATCTGACAATAAAAAAATAATTAAGAAAGACAATGTTTGCTTTTCTTTGTTGCTAAATATTGCTAAAGTACAAAGACAATTATTCGTATTCTTATTATTATCCATCCATCCATCCATTGTCTGAACCCGCTTTGTCCATGTAGGGTCGCCGGGGTGGGGGTGGGGGGGGGCTATCTCCAGCGGTCAATGGGCAATCCTGGACTCTCTGTCCAGGGTGTACCCTGCCTGATTAGTACACGGAAACTGCATGTTGCCAGTCCATCGCAGGGCAACACAGAGACACACAGGACAAACAATCATGCACACACACACACTCACACCTAAGGACAATTTAGACAGACCAGTCAACCTAAAAACAGTCATGTTTTTGGACTGTGGGAGGAAGCCGGAGGACCCGGAGAGAACCCACGCATGCACAGGGAGAACATGCAAAATCCATGCAGAAAGATCCCAGGCCGGGAAGCAAACCCAGGACCTTCTTGCTGCAAGGCAACAGCTCTAATCACTGCACCACTGCACAGCTATTTTTATTAATAATAATAATAATAATAATAATAATAATAATAATAATAATAATAATAATAATAATAATAATGCATTCTCTGATAGATCTGTGTTTTTTCTATTATAATAAGTAACACGTTTTTTAAAACAACAAATAATCATCATGTTTGTTTGTTTTCAAATGTCCTAAAGACAAAGTGAACCCAAAGTGTCTGGTTCCCATACAGCGACTCACATGTGAGGTGATATTTCATAAAAGCTGACCCCTCTGTAACGCTCCATCTGCTGCTTGGAGTAAATCTCCAGCTCTTTGTAAGGATTCACCGACACCAACACTGACCCGATATACGTCTGAGGAAGAGACGAGCTGAAGTTATGGATCACCACACTGACTGAAATGTTTTCTTAGAACATATAAAGATGGTTTTGTTCAATTACATAGATGAGGTTTTCCCTGAAGCGTCGCCTCAAGTTCTCAATGAAAGCTGCTTCGCTGTTGTAGTTTTCCAGCAGAACAAAGTCCTGCACCCCGACCCGGTCCCGGGCTGTCAGTGCACTCTCCATCACCAGACGCACTCGTCCTTCAACGTCCACCTCCTACACAGAAAGGAAAGGGAGGTGCAAATAGGAGAGTATTAGTCTTCAATTTATGTAGTATCTCAACAATGGCAGCAGGGGGCACAAAAGGCCTCGTTTCATTTACTAACTCACTTTCTAACATCTGGTTCTCAGGATTAAAGGGTATGCCACCAGTGGCATTCAGCACAATGGAACCAGTTTACAGAGAGAGGAGTTATTTAAACGACACGTATAAAACATCAGGACACAAGACCAAAAACAAGCTGCAGTTCCTCCTAGACTCACCAAGATTGGGAATTTAAGGAATCAGAATGATAAACAAACAAGATTGTGTAACGGGGAGATGGTAGATTACAGTTTATGTACGGTACAAACACGCCTGGACCCACTCAAGGTTTAATCTCTATGAAGATGTGTTTACATGTCAGCAGCAGCTGGGAAAACTGCAGAGGGCAGACAAAGCATGACACAATCTGATAGAGTCATGCACCCACACACACACACACACACACACCCACACACACACACACACACACACACACACACACACACACACACACACACACACACACACACACACAAAGAAACCAAGTATTACTAGTCTATACTTACTGATTAGAATAATCCAGAAAAAATCAATTCAGTGTGCCATCAGTCCGCTACACTCCAGCCAAACTGAGAGGACCCTATTCAGCCAGAGGAGCAGCCCTTCTCCTCCACATTTATAAAAAGAAGTGGAAGAAAGGGGCTAGACTTCCATGGGACTTCTGTTTTTCTTCCAAGAGCCTCTCAGGGGCCTCATTTAGCTGGTTAACGCTGCTAAAAGGTCATTATCTCTGAACACTTGATGTGGAGAAACAAACAAGAGGACAACAGTGGAACAGAGCCAAGTGCAAAGGAAAAGCCGGCGAACACTTCCACCGAGGCCTCTCCTCCCTGCTTCACTTCAGCAGCATTGTTCTCCCACTTGCAGGTGGGCTTCCTACAGAAAGTGCAGTGATTTTCCAAAGGATATATGTAAGGAATGTTAGGGTCACGTTCAGAGCTGGTGTTCACTAGAGGGGAGTTCACACATGAAGAAAAATATCCTGAGATTGCTGCTAGAGAGGTGGGGTAGCTCTTTAAGGTGACCTGTCATCCTGGTGCTCAGGAGCAACGTCACACAAGAAAATTTACACTAGTTTAAATCTTGACATGTTTACATCACTGCTCTAAGAGGTCCTCCACACCAATATGTAGCATTCAGTTTTATATCAGTTTCATTGCAGGCTTGTTTGACATTTTATTAAATGTGCAGTAGATGCGCAAAATCTAACAAATTTCACTGAAGTAAAAATCCATTTGCACCTCTCACAACTCAAAAGACACAAAAAAAAAACTTTAAGGCTCTTGTGGTTATGAGTCATGAGTCTAATGACTTCAGTTCCAGGAATTGCATTGCTGGACCAAAATACCCGCTAGCAGAGAGATGCCTTGTTCCACACAGTAGTTGACTTACAAGGGCAAGAAAATTCAATCTTGAAGCCCTGATCATCAACTGGTGGCTCTTGGGCCATATCTGGGTCACAAACACATTCAATCTGGCACATGAGGTCAAAAGATTTTGAATAAATGAAGCTCAGTCTAGTGCAGGAATCAGTGGTGTCTCTGCTCAGAAAGGGTTAATGTGGTCAACGTGTGGCCATTAAACAAAAGGATGTGTACCTAAATGCTTCTGAATAATCTGACCAGCTAAGAAGGTTAAGAAAAGTGTTTGAAAACCAGAAATTCAAAGTCTGGCTGTCATGCAGTACAAGACAACTCTATGGACTTTGAAAACAAACAACCGTTCAATGTGTTTATATTTGAATTTTCGTCAATTTCCTGCAAGGAAATACGGGAACGCCGCACAGTAGATAATGAGCTCAAATTACTAGCCTGAAGAAGTAAAGTGCCTTGAGGAAATTCAGATAAAAAAGACCAGCTGTGATTATTTTAAACATGTTTAATCACAGGCTGCAGCCCCCACAGTAAGTTTCATTAGCTCACTGGGAAAGTGAAAATCCTTTTGGCTGAGATCCTTGAGCATCAGAGAAAGTCGTAAACAGAAAACGGTGGAATCCCTACAGCTTAATTACTATCAGAAACCTGACCCAAGGCCAGTGGTTCCATCAGTGAGAACTTCCTCTGACAGACCCAGTATGGTGGGATCAGCCTTTGAGCAGCAGGTCTGTAGGTGCAGCTGCATTGACAGCCAGTGGGGAGGGTGGCTTGGCCCCACAAACCCACGCTGGACTGACTACAACCAGATTACATTCCTTATAAGGCATGCCCCACCACCACCAGGACGAGCTGGTCTGGTACTACGACTGGCTGCACACCACTAATGCAGAATAAGGTGGGAAAATCCCACATTTATCCTCTTTGGAAAGATTCAGTTACAGTTTGTATGAAAACCAGAATCCTCCCTACGTGACTCATTGTTGTTTTGTTTTTCCCTCTCTGGCTTCATCGGAGTTACTGTCTGAGTAAAGATGATGATTCAAAGAGCAACAATAAGCATGAAAAGACAACAAAAAGCATCATGATGCATATCTTACCCTGCCCTGGTACCTCATCCTGTCTCGTTACAGTTAGGAGAATACGTGGTGGCTTCCCCCTAGGCTGGTGCTCCTCCTCCTCCTCCTCCTCCTCCTCCTCTGTCAAACAAACTTAGCAGAACCTTCTCATTCACCTTCGTCCTTGTCTCGCCCTTATGGTCCCTGTCTCCTTGCCTTTCCTTCCTCTTTAGTCTCCTGTGAAGAGAAACAGCTCCTTTAGTTTACACACATCCCACCTTTGACAGCTCAGAGACCACAGCTCCACCAGCTCCTCTTCTACCTTCTGTAAACTAAGCCACTACAAAAAAGGCCAGGAACTTCACCTAAACGTCACTCTGACAGAAAAAAGGGGGAAGTCTGCTGCAGGAGGGTGAAAAAATAGAAAAAAAGAGAGTTGGAAAAACAGGGAAGCAGGGAGGCTATGGAAAAAGTTACTGCAGTCCTTAAGATGTAATCGCTGAGCAGCTTTGAAAAACCAAAAGAAACAGAAATCACATGAGGAGCTCCAACTACATTCTTCCTTTCCGTCCTTCCCTCCCTGTTAGGTTCCCTCCCTCCTGTTTTCTCCCACAAGCTGAGACAGATATGTGAGTTATGAAAACGTTTGGTGAACAGGGCTGCCCGTGTCTCTCCGTGGCTTTCCCTCCCTTCTCTGTAAAAATATAGCTCTGCAGATGTGACATGAGTCAGGGACATTTTGTTTTCAGGGCAACGTTCATAAATCTTTACCGTTTCAATTTAGCATTTGTGCTGTGTGTATGGATCATCAAAATGCATTTCTTATTATGCTGCTTCCCATTTTGGCATTCTTTTGAAGGGAGTGCAATTAAGGCCACATGCCTTCTCTGGGAGAACACCGCCCTCTTCTGGCTAGAATCATCAAACATTCAGAACCAAGGAATCTGAATAACGTCAGATTTTCTTCTGTTAACCTTATTTATTGTCATCTTTCCAGTTGTTATCCTGAACCAGTGTGTGCTAAAATGACCTTGGTTTCTCAGCCCCATTTGCCTCATGTCAGCAGAATAACTCTTTTGCAACATGGGTCTCTTCAGACTGGTGACCTTTCTCACAAGAAGCAGTACCGCTTTACGACAATCCATGTTTACATCTCAGAACAAGCTACAGATGGTTGGCTTTCTCAAGTTCAAAATGGCAGAGCCATATCTGAAAATTAAATGAGAAAAAGAACGACCGACCACAAGAGGAGAGTCAACATCAGGAGTTTTCTGAATGACAGGAGCTCAGAGACAACTGAATATTACATTTGGATGCAGACCTCATCATCATGCTATTGTGCTTGTATAAATTTGATTTGTTTGTTAGAAAACACGGACCACAAATAACATTTACCTCAGTGATTTGAAACAGACACTAGTGGATTTTAAATCTAGCCAAAACTGTCTAGATTAAAGGTGTGGGACACTTGTTTAATACTTTTGCAATGGTCTCTAGAAGGAATCAAAGGCTTGCAAGTTGTATACTTAGGGAAAAAGTTCAGATGCACTTGTTTCAAGAACTACCAGAATGCCCCATTAGAGGAGAGGTGAACACAGCACAATTTGGAGTCTTACTTGGACATCTCGTCTCAGATTGAGGGAGGCCGAGCTCCGATTGTAGCCATAGCCACTAGGGCGCACCCGTAGCCACAAATGGCTGTGACTGCTATCCCGTATAGAACAGCCAATGGCTATGGAATTGCTGAGACAGCACCCACTGCCCAGACAGACTCCTTTACATTATTATGCTAACGTAGCTGTGTTACAGCCACAGTACTATGAGCATAGCAGTTGACTGCCATGACCACAGCTACTGTGCTACGGGCAGAGCACCGCACAGCCACGTCAGCATGATATGACGGGGAAAGAGTTCAAAGTACACCAAAGACTAAGATTAAACATCAAATACGAACAAAGTTTCAAATGTGAACACATTTTTAATTACTGTACTTATAAACTACCAAAACAATGCTCCTCAGTTAAGTGTAACCTATCACAAAACCTTTAACGTAAAGGACTCTGTCCAGGCAGTGGGTGCTGTCACAGCAATTCATAGCTATAGCCATTGGCTGTTCTCATCGCGACGGGATAACAGTCACAGTCATTTGTTGCTACAGGTGCGCCCTCGTGGCTGTGGCTACAATCGGAGCTCGGGCCTACTGCTCGGATTGACTAACAACTTTACAACTGCCTCTCTTTGCTCAGTGACATTGATGTTTTATCTCCACAAATAATTCAAGCCTGGAGGAGTTCAGCTGTGTGGTGGAGTTGCTAATGCTAATGGTTAGCGTCTTCTAGTCGAGACGCTCTCTGCTGTTTTCTGGACGCTAAACCAACAACAGCCTTCCTCAACACGAGTCAAGATAAGTGTGTCTATGAATGTTAAGCGACAGTGTGACGTAGCTCTGTCAGGCTTTTCTGAAATTAGCGTTTTTCTGTTTATTTTCTATCAGCAGTTAAGACATGAGCTAGGTGTAGAAGACTATTTTTACGTTCAGCTTGCATGAAAAATGTTGTGACCAATTATGATCAGAAATAGGAATTAAAAATGTATTTTCGGTGTTTCACACCTTAAATAAAGCACCGATGTACTCATCTATAATTTTGTTGTGAGAGAAAAAGTTTTATTCATCAGTTTGCAGATCAACATCAGAATCCAGCAGTGGCCTGTACAACACACTGACAGATGGTTGTTTACTTGTAACACAAAAGCATGTTGGACTCCTTTCATGAAACATTTTAACTGCTGAAAATGACGAAAGGCAAACAATGTTTTTGCCTGTGTGTGCCGTTTAATTTTCTGCAACATACCTCCTGAACCACTAAACTGATTTTAATAAAACTCTCAGAAAGTAATCAGCGGATGTTCGTCTACAACTGATTAACTTTTGGAGTCCAACCCAAAGACGACGACTGCCACAGCTAATCAGCTTTAGCAAACACAAACAAACACAGCTATAACTCAGTCTGACTGACAGATAGAGTGATTCATAACACACACTCTGACGGCTAACTGAACGCAAACATTTCTGACCAAAGCAGCTATTCCAGGACACTGTTTATCAGTTCTGCTTTGGCATCTGTCCAAAAAAAAAGTTTCAAACATCATGAAGCTGCTTGAGTCACATTTACTGCTTGGAAGTGACCATATATGTCACTTTCTAGATATTTTTGACATTTTAAGCCTCTAATACTACTTTCACTTACTTTTAGGAACGTGAAAAGCATTAGAGAACTCCCCTCAGCACTTACTACAAATCATCCAGGCAGTAAGTGTAGAAATAGAGGAAACTCGCTGCCGAGTCTGTCCATCACACCTATTGGTTGTTTTTCAGTCACTCTTCCTATCTTTGTTCAGGAGTTCCTCTAAGAAGGATTTCCTTCCTAAATGTTTCCTGATGTTCAGGATTTTCCATCAAAAGCATTATTTTCCTCTTCTTTTGTTTGTGTGAATGATTCATTTAACACCAACGTGATCCAGGGTGTAACCTAACCAGAACTGAATGTGTTTGATGTGACAGAGTCGAGAGAATTTCTGGATTTATCCAAAAACACGTCAGATTTTGTAATATTCTTATTGCACAAATGTGCTGAAGTGCGCGGGCTGCACAGTAGAGCAGTGGCTAGTACCACTGCCTTGCCACATAGAGGTTTCTGGTTTGAAACTTGTGTAGATGTGAGTTTTTTCTCCTGTTTTCAGCCACAGTCCAAATGTGAAGTTGTGTGTTACTTTGTCTCTTGTGTCTCTGTGTTGGTCCCGTGA